TATTCGTAGAAAAATGAATATAATCCGCAAGATCCGATAGATATTTTGGATGCGGTTTTGATATAACACCAAAGAGTAGGTGTACTTTATTGATATATTTGATTAATCCAATATATCAATAAAGTACACCTACTCTTTGGTGTTATATCAAAACCGCATCCAAAATATCTATCGGATCTTGCGGATTATATTCATTTTTCTACGAATAAATATCGTGTTCTATAAGAATTAAGAATAGATCGGCTCAAGGTATTATTCTTTTTTTAAGACTAAAAAATTGTAAATATGTAAATAGCTAAGAATTTGTCAACTGTAATTAGTCTAATGTCTTTAGAGTAACTAATATAATTTTGTTTAACTGTTTTCATCTTAAAATGTGAGGAATACATGCTATATTAGAGCAACAATTGTTTTATTAAGCATAGTAATTATTTAAGATTTAAAAAATGTATATACAAAAACCACGCGCACTGTGCACATTTCTGGCGCGTGCTTCCGTACGGTAACGACACTTCGGCGGACCGGACTGCCGAAGCGAAAGGGTTAAATTTATTTTTCGTTTTCGGTACATTCACCATTTTAAATTTAGGCAATTTTAAATGACAATATAATGTACATTCTGTGATAAATATATACAACTATTCAAAATTGTTAGTTATTATTTCGAATCTTATAAATTAATAATTTGATTCAAATCTTCCTTGTGCTTATTTTTATCTTCTAATTATCGATTATATATAAATATATAATTTTTAATCGATAATTTTAATACAAAGACTCCGTAATTGGTATATCTACTCTAACAATAAATGCCATTTATTAAATACAGTTTTTTGTTTATAAAAAGAGTGTTTATAAGCAGTATCACGCATGAAAATGTTAGTATAATTATTTGTCGTTTTTATAAATAACAAATTTTTATATATTTCGGTGATAAATAATATTGCAATAGACAAAAGGTTGTCCTGGATTTGGCACTTACAATCATATTTATTTCCACTTTCCAATTGTTTGGTAACGTGTTGATTTCACACGTCGGATCTAATAAATATATCAGATAGTTTTTTTATTTTTAACCCGTATGTGAGCAAATGGCTCTTGGCTATTCACCTTTATTTGTTTTTCAAACAATTTCTTACGTTTTTTAAAATATCTCAAGAGTATTCTGTAATTGTCATTTATCAGATATTTAAAAGAAAAATTTTACATTTTGAAACTTTTCAATATAAAGATTTTATATATTAAAGATTTTCGATATAGAAATTTTATATATTTGAATTTTTCAAAATAAAAATTCTTTATATTAAAGCTTCACAAAATAAAAATTTTACATATTAAAAAAGTAAAATATGAAAAAAATAGTTGAGAAAAGTTTTAATTATTGAAACTTTTTATAACAAGAGTTGTTTACACGCTAGAACTTCCCAAATTAGAAATGATAAATAGAAAAATGCTCGAACAATCCAAATTTTGATTATTAAAGCTTTTTGAAGCAAATGCTTTAAATATAAAAGATTCCTGCAGTAAAAATTCAGATGACGACATTTTATGTAATGGAAATTTTACGGATTAAAGGGTTTAGAGATAAATATTTAAATATATAAGCTTTACAGAATGAAAATTATGCATGTTAAGATTTCTTAAAATAAAAATTTTTAGTGCTGAAGCTTTATATAATAAAGATTTCAAGTATTAAAACCGCAATGAATAAAAATTTTAAATATTACAGTTTTCTAAACTGAAAATTCTTTTAAATAAAAATGTTTAATATAGAATCTTTTCAAAGTAAAAATTATAAACATGGAAATTTCCGAAGGTAAAATTTTTAAATATTAAATATTAATACCCAAAACTAAAAATTTTGCATATTAAAACTTTCCGAAATGAAAATGTTGCAATTAAATTTTAAATATTTACATATGATAACAAAAATTTTAAATAATGAAGTTATCTAAATTGAAAATAGTGAAGATTTTTAAAATAAAAATTTAAAATATTAAAGCTTTCCAATGTGAAAATTTTAAATATTCAAGCTTCTTAAAGCCAATATATGCATATTGTCAATATTTCAGTATTCTCCCTGTCAATATTATACTGCCAATATAATATTATCAATACATATTGTCAAACAACATTAACACATTATTATCATTCTATACTGTCAACACTTCAATACTGATAATAAATATTAAATGCTTAGAAACATTGATAAAATATATTGATTATCTGGTGTTTCCGAAAAGAGACTTACATATTGCAAAAATGATCAAAATGTGAACATCATTTTGTTTATTTATGTTTAAAATGGGAAAGAGATTTATGTCCTCTTTGCGTTACCTAATTTATCCGGAGATATGACATCACATGATGCGTAAGTAACGTAACTCTCTCATATTAACATATTCCTTGCAAATTAATAGAAAGGACTTTTTATATACTAATGAAATAAAATGATTTTGTTTTAAATTACAACTGCTAAGCAAAAAGTATTTGCATGTTTATTAAATTGAAAAGTAAATTATTATTTAACACGAAAGGTTAAATTTTGTCAAAATTTAAATTATTATTAAAATAATAATCTATTATTTAACATATGCAAAATAGGAAGTGACATTTATTTTAAAGTTTGAATTCAATTTTTTTGGGAAACAGTCATGTGGAAGATTTTACTTTGCAATTTTCAAACTCGGATGTGAAAAAAGGGTAATTTTGCAGCGGAAACCGCGTCACTACATCAAAACGACTGTAACTACATAAAAGATGTTTCCCCTTTCGTTACCTAAATTTAGATTGTTTGTCGTGAATATTTTGGGGGTAATCCTTGCACCGTTAGTTTCTGGATGTGTAACCGAAGGGTTCGGTTTGACAGCTTCGAATAACAGCATCAAATGTTTCATTGTAAGCATAGGAATCAAAGAGACCGCCAAATGCAACTTCTTTTTCTCGGTGTACCGTTTCTGCGAATTTGAATATTTTTTGACAGAAATATTTCAAGGTGTTGGTGTGTTTCTATTTCTAGGATAATACCTGAATCTGTTATTTCATGTAAATCTTTTATTTTAGTCGCGAATCACATATTATTCTTTATTGATACTGATTCGACCAAAATACTTATTTTTTTTACATTTTATAGGGCACTTTGTTAGTATGACTATGAATGACTATGAGTAATACGGTATTTTGTTATATTTTTAAATGAAATGTTAAGGCTCTTATTAATAAAATCTTTATTCTCTGATTTGGTGCTTAT